AATGGCCTTGAAAACAAGCGCCAAGGGCCTGACACCATCAAGTTTGGTGCCGGGCTTAAACATTTCCAAACATCCCGTAAATCTAAATAATATAAGAAGCCCATAAAAAGAGAATAAAAAAAAATCACTTAACAATCACTCACACTTTCAAGTTAAAGAGAAAAGAAAAGAAGAAAGGCAAACCAATCAAGTTCAGTAAAGCAAAGGATAATCATTTAGAAAAAAACAGTTCTTTGACCAGTTTCTATGTCAAATATATGCCGTAGCAGCCGTTATTAACTTTTTAAATTATTATCTGTCACAGTGAGATCAACAAAACATGAGTTGACTGACCGCCTCCCTTGCTTTAAATCAGATGTAAACATTGTCTCGACGATGCTGTAAGAGACACAACATTGCATGATAAATATTGACACAGTAAACAAAGAGAGTAAGATAAAACTATAACAGTAAACAAAGGCAAATAAAAGCGTAAGATGAGTAAAAAAAAATGGGGAACACGAGATGTAAAAAGTCGCCCATATTTGAAATAAAAACAAAGTGAATAAAATGATGAAAAAAATGATATTTATAAGTATTCCGAAAGGGGACTCTCAAGATAAAATTGTAAAAGGCGTAGTAGAAGAAAACCTTACAGTAAAATTCAGGAGAAAATAATTACCGCCCCCTCTCAAAAAGAAAAAAAAAACGAAGCAGAAAAATAATCAAGAAAAGCAAGACAGGCGACAGCAGCACCAAGTTCTCCCGCGCGGCAGCCAGAGCGGGAGGAGGCTCGGCTTCTTGAAGAGCGCGAGATGCAGCATCCGAGATCACCTTACATCTCTCTCTCTCTCTCTTTCTCTCTCTCTCTCTCTCTCTCTCTCTCTCTCTCTCTCTCTCTCTCTCTCTCTCTCTCTCTCTCTCTCTCTCTCTCTCTCTCTCTCTCTCTCTCTCTCGCTTTCACTCTCACTCCATTATATTAAGATCAATAAGTCCAGGGTAAAGACATTTTTGTGTTATCAACAAATACATTTGATTTGTATTCTATATGTTCTTGTTGCTTTACGACGGTAGCTTAGATTTTATCAGCTAACAACGAACTGCGTTTTCCCCTGCATTTCACTCGAAGATGAAAATGCAATTACGTTTTTTTAATTTCTGGAGAAAGCGTTTTCTCCTGTTCTTTTTTTTTTTGACCGTGTAAATTATAGTTCATCACGTCGTCGGAGAGGGCTACCTTATATTCTCTTTAATTGCAACATGATGGTATGTGTTAACTTCCACGTGTATTTACTTGACCGCTCGTACCTTGGGGAGGAAATATGGACGTGGCGTTCATTGCCTAAAGTTAAAGGAACTTGTTTTTTGTGTGTTCTGCGGTTGGATTTTCTCAGTTCGTTATTAGATAGTGCTGATGTGGGAGAGAAAAAGGAAAATACGATAAGAAACGTGTCTTCGCATTTTTATCTTGAAAAATAGAAGGGACTTCTAAATTTGGTCGTAAAATGCTGATTTTAAAGTTTTGGAGTTAATTCCTGTATGCTTTGGCATTCGGGCATAAAATCGTTTAACGTTGCGTGTCCAAATCAGAAATGTAATTTGAATGACGTTATATTTTGGATTCCCGAATTACCAGAAGTGTTGTAGTGTAAATGTATGGATATCCTGCGTTTAATGATGAATATCTGCTTTGGACCGCAGTTCAACCAATTAGTTCAGATGAATGACAGAGTGGCAGCTTTTTATTCAGCAGTTGTCACTGAATCGGAGAAAAATCATATCACCGAACACTGGGTTTTATTTCGTGAATTCATAATTCTCTGTAACGGTCATGAGAATAATAATAATAAAAAAAAAACAGGACTGTTTTCCAAGAATTCATAATGCGAGTGTCCATTAAGCACTGAATCAAATCGCTCTTGTCTTAAATCCCCAAAGAGGAAATATAAATCTCCGCGCAATGGAACGAAAAGGGTGCCAGGGCAGGGGGAATGGGGGTAGGAGGGGGAGGGGGGCGTGGAAAGAAGGGGGGGGAACTTAATGGATTTTAAGTGAATTCTTTATTTGGCTTATTTTGTTGCCGATTATTTACGGAAGAAATGTATACAAAAGCTGTCTTTCTGTGTATAATGACCGCCACGCGTCCGCAGTGTATGTGGAGGAGGAGGAGGAGGAGAAGAAGAAGAAGAAGAAGAAGAAGAAGAAGAAGAAGAAGAAGAAGAAGAAGCAGAAGCAGAAGCAGAAGCAGAAGCAGAAGAAGCAATAGGAGGAGGAGAGGAGGCCGAGGGGAGGAGAGGAGAGGAGGGGAAGAGAGTAGAGGAGGGGAAGGGAAGGGTGGGGAAGGGGAGGAAGAGAGGGAAGGAGTAAAAGAAGAAGGGGAGGGGAGGGACGCGGGGCTGGGTTAATCTTGTGACTCAGGAGCGCAAAATGGCGCGCTTTGGGGAATTCATGTGTGAAATCCTTCCCGTGCGAAATTCCTCGGTGCTTGATAATTTGCTGCAAAATGGCGAGGGGTGTAGAGGGGGGGGGGGGTCGAGTGAGTTTAGGTGTCGTACTGCACACTTTTCGCAAAGTATGAAAATAGTAAAAATAAATTAATAAGTTAAATTGTAACGACAGCAGATGCCATTTTTTTATATGTCTTCTGTAACCCTTGTTTGTTTAAGGTTAGGCAGACAGCATTCATGCATGCCACGTATGTTTTAATTGCCGTGCAGTGATGATATTCAAAGTCATAAACACACAAGGGTACGTGACAGGAAAAGAGAAAAGGCGAAGGAGAAGAAAAATGGAAAGGTGAAAATAGAAAGATGAACGTAATGGTGTAAAAGGGAAGTTATAAGGACGAGGAAAGTGGAAGGGAAACTTGTTTTGATACCAAACGAAATGGAATGAGGGGAGAGAGGGTGACGATAAAAGGGGAAGAAAGAGAAAAAAAAGGGAACTGTATTCAAAGCCCTTTTTGTACAGCATAAAATCGAAAGGCACTCAGGCAGTGTGACAACTACGGAAAATATCTGGACCTTTTTGACATTCCGCTTCCATCTCCTTTCCCCGTCGCCAAGAAGTCGCGGGGCGTCAGTTGCATCGAGGAAAAGGAGAGAGAGAGAGAGAGAGAGAGAGAGAGAGAGAGAGAGAGAGAGAGAGAGAGAGAGAAGAGAGAGAGAGAGAAGGAGAGTCAGAGAGAGGAAGAAGGAGAGAGAAAGGATGAGAGAGAGAGAGAAAGGATGAGAGAGAGAGAGAAAGGATGAGAGAGAGAGAGAAAGGATGAGAGAGGAGGGGGGGGGGGAGGGGAGGGAGGGAGGGAGGTGGGGGGAGAGGAAGAAAGAGAGAGAGATGTAGGAAAAGGAAAGAAAGAAAGAAGGCGTGCTTACTTATGAAAAACGAACCGTTTCTCACACGCAACTTTCACCATCGCTCTGCCCTCGGGGATTACCGCTGGGGATCATCTCTTGTTTAGATTCCCCTCAGGTACGCTCACCCTTTCTCCTAATTCTTACTTTAGTTACACCGTTTTTTTGTTTTTTTTCGTTTTTTTTTTTATCTTAAAGGATGGTCGTGTCAGCTCGAAGGGTGTACAGACATGCATATGCACATATACATTCCCACACATGCACACGCAAATGGGCAGGCAAGCGCATGGATATGGAGAGTTGACAGTAAGAGGGAGAGATGAAAAGAGAGAGAGGGAGAGAGGGAGAGCGAGATTAGATATGTATATCTTTAATCCAACACTGACCGTCGTATAATATTTGCACTTTAGAATTAGTACCTTGACCAACATTTCATACGAAGCCAAACTCAGTGTTAATTTTGTGTCCATAAAACCGAGGCCATCATATAGACAAAAATGACCCAGTGCCCAGCGATCACTATTGACGGAGATTAGGTCAATCAACCGTATTTGCGTAGTTGGGTGGTCTGTCTGGCGGATTTATTTTGAACGAATGTATAACGAAAGAGAGAGAGAGAGAAGGAGAGAGAGAGAGAGAGAGAGAGAGAGAGAGAGAGAGAGAGAGAGAGAGAGAGAGAGAGAGAGAGAGAGAGAGAGAGAGAAAGAGAAACTACACAAAGAAAAAGAAACAGGAGAGAGGAGAGATTGAGTGAGAGAAAGAGGGAAGGAGGGGAGAGAGGAAGAAAGGGAGAGAAAGAAAGAAAAAAAGAGTAATAGGAAGAGAGAGGCAAAGGGGAAATCCAACGTTACAATATCTTTGAAATTGGGGTATGTCCTGTCAATCAAGCGGCCGGTTCGCTCGTCCTAAAGAAAGTATTGCATCCAAGGGGGACAGAGGGAGCGAGAATTGAGTGTCATGAAGTCAAAGCTTGTCCAGTGGTAGGTTAAGCGGTTTTGCAAGCTGTGTTATATGGCCCCTTAAGCACCACCTCGTGTTCCTCGTAGTCCAAAATTATGACGCCACGAAATATTTATTTTGTATAATTGATTTTTTTTTTCAGCTGTATTGCTAGATACGCATTTTATGATAATAACATTTAGCCACTTCTCCATTTAGCAACTGCCGTTGCATTAGCAATCCCGGTAATGTACATTTAGCGATAATGATATTCATAGCCTCTTGTCCTTTTTGTATGCAACCGATTTTTGCAAGTGAAACGCGAATAAACCCCTTTGAGCATTCGAACGATGAAAGTCGATTAACCAAGATTAATCGATAATTTCGTATTCATTAAATTCTTTTGATAGATTTGGCTTGATAATTTTTCACACAGTAATAGCTATCACATTTAGTATTACAAGGATCGACCCGTTCATGGAAATGGCGGTTTTATCGGAGCTTGAAATTGAAAACGTTTGCGTCATGATTTTGAGGTAATTCGAACACACGAGTAAACATAAACGAGTATTATAATGACCTAAAAAGTTTAGATTCCAAAGAGAGTTCTCGGGCAGTTGTAATATATGCATATCACGTATATTTCAAAGTGCATAGCTGATTACCTATTCTGTCAACATCACAAGAGATGTTTGATATATTTCGGGGTTTAAGTGTGGCAAAGGGCCA